ATGCTAGAACAGTGTACCAAATAAGCCTAAAAGAAAACCTTTATAGCACGTAATAAATGAGTTTCTAGAATATCTATGGTATATTAAATAAGCTTAAAAGAAAACGTAATGAATTTGTAATTTATGATTATCAAAATCAGGTATCTATGAACGTTTATGGTATATAATAAATGTATTTATATAGCACGTATAGTATGTTAATGAAATTTAACAGAAAGCCTCACAATATCTTTTATTTATGATTTTCAAGATCAGATCAGACAACTATAAAGTTTATAGAATATAATAAATGTTTTATGGCATGCAGAGTGTACTGAATAAACTTAACAGAAAACGTAACATTATCTTTTATTTTTGATTTTCAAGATCAAATGAGATATAAAGCTTTATAGCATATAATATATGATCTGGAGCATCGGTAATATATGAAGCAAACGCAAGAGAAAACGTAACATCTATAATTTATTACCATAAATAAAATGAGACATCCATAAACATTTATAGCGTATAGTAAATGAACTTCTAAAGTATCCACGTTATCTTTAAACCTACCGGCCTGTAATGTACACTGAACGTGACATTTAAACCAAAATCGTGAACTAAATGAACAAATGATACAATATAAATTCATGTGTACATTAATTCTTTATCTCGATAAAAATTAACACAGGTTTCAAAAAAGCGTTTTTGTGTTGTTAGTGGTTCAACGCGAGGTAGTTTAATATGTGGATCAATGACACCACGCAGATACAAAATGAACTAACAATTGTTTCAGTATTTACGTTCTGCTTTCACCACTTCGAAATCATAAATTTCTAACGCAACAAACTTACAATCTTCCTATTCTTTTCCATAATTTTCTTCACATTAAAATAGTATATGAGATTCTTATTCCGTCATTTTCTACAAACTTCAAGCTTCCAATTGATATTAAAAGAGTGTAATTTCTGCAAGCTTTTATGTCATGAATTCACGTTAAACTTCCACCACTTCGAAAACATAAATTTCAAATATAACCTCGTTGTCATCGATTTCTTTATCTTTGTTTTATTCGTACCAAGGATAATAACGAAACGTTTATCCGCTTATTATCTTCAAGTTTTAAGCTTCAAATTAGTATAACGTAAGTATTATTTCTCTAAATCACAAATGTAATAATATATTTTTATATTACGAATTATCGTTCAATTTCTCACGTTTTAAAATTGTTTACCTTGTTGTTTGCCATTGATAGTCACAACTCAGAAAATGTAAGTCTTTCTAAATTCAACATTTACAAAATACTGTATCTACATTTGCAAAGTACTAAATACGGACATAAATTGCTATTGTTTTTAAATGGTATATGTATACTGTTGTGTGCTAGCGGTTCAACTTAATGATAACGCGAGCTAATTTAATGTGTAAATCAGTGACTCAGACACAAAATGAACCAACAATTGTTTCAGAATAAATATGTTCAATTTATTTATAAGTGAAAGCTTGCTTGTTGCACTTTATAATAACTTCGTAGCTACGGACTATAAAATTTTGTACTTGATACATTGAGAGTTGGCGAGAGAATCTGAATAATCTAAAAAGAATATTTTTGCTAAAAATTGAAAGGTGGAGTGGAATCGATATGCTACTAGTGGTGGACAAGCGAATTGGTTAAAATGAACTATTGGATCGGTTAAAAAGATATTAAGAGAAGGGGACAAGAACCGCCCTTACAAAATGTTCGTACTGAGGTCAAGTTTGACCTAAGGTCAATACTACGCCGTCGCTCGTCACCTAATCGACAGTAATAAAACCATAAAGTTTGCTGGGTCTTGATAAAATATGCTAAATAGAAAAAATTGAAATTGCAAATTATCCGTACTAAACAGCTACAAAACGGTTGTATGTTCAAAAATATACCAAAAAATAAAGATAAACTTGATGGCTTTACGATTTTAAGAATACACCATAACAAGCATCTTAATTTTGTAATTTAAAATAGCAAAATTAAGAACTGGTCAAATGATTTGATAGCTTCAGTGTTAAACAGCAATAACAACCTAATAGTAGCTATAATCTACGGTTTAATTTATGATAATATATCATTGTTATAATTTGTAATAATGATTGTTATTACAAAATCTAAATTTGTACGGCACCTTGAAATAATTCCTCAAATTGTTGAACGAAACAGATGCTCGGAATTAAACGATTTGTTCGCACAACCTGTAGTTTCGGTGATATATCTTGTGTCACTTTGACCAAAATTGTGTGGGAAACGTTACAAGAGCCGAGGACAAAATTTTAATTGAATTTCAAGGAGTGAAGATATCGTGGCAAGAAGTGAAGAGTAATCAATTCGTTCGACGCGATCATTTACAAAGTGGTTTGTCCATTGACACCGACGATGCTATGTGTTCGTTTTATAAATCACTTTGATGTTCTGATGAGTCTGTGGGGCAGAGTGCGGTTCCCTGCCAAGCGTTTGGGAAACGAACGATAGAAACAGCAATTTGCGGTTATTGGCTCTCTAGTTTTCGACGTGAGTTTTACGATTTGCTGAATTTACTATCTCTCTTTCGCTCCGATTCTGATTCTGCTCATTTTTTCAGATTTTGTATTGCTTTGGGAAAACACGGATAGTTCAATATGTTTGCGTGTTCTTTTTCGGGTAAATAAAGTACGCGGTAATTAAACCCGTGGTGTGTTCGATCCTTGTAAACGATTTTATGAACGATTTTGTACATGGTGCAATTCAGAATGTAGTGAATACGTAGAGTAAAGAAATAGAATTTCATAGAAAAATAAGTGAAAGCGATTATTTTAGGCCAGTTTGATATTTTCCATTGATTTTAAATATAATATTGCACGTGTGTAATATCAGGGAAGACAAGGGTAAAATTTTATACATTTGACCAACTTGTCAACCATCATTTCAAAGTATAGAATTCAGAATGATGTCATGAAAAAGTTTGTTTATTGGTCTATTTGACCCAAATTTAGCTTCTGATAAGTTTGACTATTTGAGCTATGACACTTTTCCGCAGTTCATTGTTACTTTCCTGACCCAGCATGACGAAAGGAACATTAAATACTTCGTAGAGAATTAAGTAAAAATACTTCTCCTAACATGGAATAGGATTTTCATTATAGGAAACGATAAAAGAAACACTTAAATGGACACATTATATTTTGAGTAACGATAGAAACAATACCCGTACATTTAAATAATGAAAATTAGATCGCATAACTAGCTTCGAGCATTTTGGCATCGTGTATCTGGTTTATTTACCTATTCCCAATTATAGTTATAATACGTATAATACATCAACCTAGACAACCTTTACAGTTCCTTTTTGTTCATATAATAACACGTTACTTTCGTCCTCAACCGCGTCCAAAACAAAAGTACCATAACCTACAAACTATATTTACTGAAACTAACTATAGAAACTTATAATGATATGTAAGAACGCTCTAACAGTTGGTTTAATACGAATAGTTTATGAATATTAACAAGACAGTTGAAATGGCAGAAATTTACTTGAGTGATCTGAATTAGCATTTCAGTGTAACTCCTTAACCTATAATTGTCTAGACAGTTGCGTTATTCACAGCTAACTAATTATTGCAACAACGTTAAGGCAACTAAAGTAAGTTGAATTGTTCAGCACGTTTTGCCTTCTGCGATCCTTGATTATGCAGACTATAATTGAAATTGAGCCAAAATTCAATTGCAGTGAATATACGAGTCTGGTTTATCATGTTCGAACTGTAGTGTGCTTCACGAGTATGATACCATACTGTAGGACAAGAGGTTAACCACCGCATGCGATTCATGTTATGGATCAGTGTAAATAAATGTAACAAAATAGATACTATGTACGTAGCAGTATGAAAAACAAACTGAAAACAAATAAATTGTCTGAAAATATTTGTGAAAGTGGAAAGAAGGGTTGTTATTTCCATTTCGATTTGGGGCAGATAACTAATTGTTTTGAAGATACTAATAACTAAATATGGTTAATCTTTAAATTCAAAAGTACAATAAATTGATGTATATAAACCATTAGCTGCTCAGTTAAATACATCAACATAAATCGAAAGATCTAAGGTTCAAATACCAGTTATCTATTACTTGCTCATTTAAATATTTGATTACATTGGAGCATCATTATTAAAGTTGCAAATAATTATACTGTAACTGTTGTAATTATAACTTTGTTAATTATTTATTATAATGTTCAAACTAGGTAGGTACATTAATATGACTGGATATAATTGAATTTGGAACGATTAGAAGTCATTAAAAGTTATAAACAGAATGTGTAGAGTACACACAATTATGCAATGTTATAATATTACAATATTACAATGTTACAAAACATGCCATATTCAATGCCAATTTATTATACTAATGTTTATTTTAACGTTTGATCAAATTGTTTTAGTATTTCTTAATTGTAACACTGCTGCAATTTTAATCCTTCCTTACTTTTATTTAATTCTTCAAAAACAAGAATGCATTTCTTAACTACTCAAGCAACGTTGATAGGAAACTAACGGTATACTATTTTCTTGCGATACGAACAATAGCGATATCGATAATGATAATAAATATTTTGGGAAGGTACGACGAAAAAAATTGTAATGATAAATTTCAATAACTGTTATGACAATAATGTAAATAATAATTATAGATAATATTATACAATATATATTGTGTAGTAATATTATCTAATATCTACATATAGTGTTATTAATATCTATCTATAGTATTATAGTATTATAATAATTATGGAAATAATAATACTAATAATGAAATTTGTTATTCATTTATCTTCGAGATGTTACATAATTATCGAATTATGTAATAAAGCATAATTACAACAAAATGCAAGCAAGTGGGGCGGTTAAGGATTAATAGTATAACAGGATATTTCATAAAAATTAAATGTTTGAAATTATGAAAATAATTCAGTTATAACAGTTATAATAAATTGTTACTTTTATTGTTTCAGGATGAGAAGAATCAAATATTGACGACGAACGCGTGGCTCAAGTTGGTAAGTGAATGTAAACATATATGAGAATATATATTACTACAGTTATTTTAGACAGTAAACAGAAATAGTAAAAATTTTTAACAATAAAGTTTCATATTTGAAAGTTTTAAATCGCACAGTTTCAAAATTCGCAGTTCTACTATTCAGTATCTGAAAAACTACACAGGTCAAAGTAGTTACAGTTCAAAGCTCCTAAAATTCAGGGTTCAAGTTATAAACCAATAAAACTTTAAAGCTTTTAAACTTTCAAAGCCAACGTTAAAAATTTTCGTATTTAAAAGGTCTGGAAGATCAAACCTTAAATATTCGAAATTTACAAAGGTCAAAGCTCCCAAAGTTTAATCTCCAATTAAAGCTCCAATTCCTAAATTCACAAGATTAAAAATTTTAAAAGCTCAAACTTTTCAATGTTCAATGCTTACAAAAATTCATAATGTTAAAGTTAAAAATACCTCACATCTATTTAAAGCTCTCAAAGTTAAAAATTCCGTATTTCAAACCCTTAAAATTCAGAGGCCACAAAGTTCAAATCCCCAAAATTCAATACTTCCTAAGTTGAAACTCTACGTTCGAAGCTCTCAAAGTTCAAAGCTTCAAAACTTAACATTCTCCAGTTTCAGGTCTCAGAATTCAGGGCCCTAATGGTCAATATTTCTATGCCTAGTAACCCAAGTTTAAAGCTTACCCAAAAATTCAAAGTTATAACATTACAAAGTTACAGAGTTACAATTTGTAGACAATGTATGATTACTGTTTGACAGAAAGTAAAATCAAAACTTCGAACAATCATCAAGTTAAATCGAACACCATTCTTAATTAAGATTATTGATTATTTATTGATTTATAATGTAAATATGACTAAATCAAATGATTGACATTTCTGTGAGACTTAAATCTAATTTTCTGCAATTTTTTCGTAACATCTGTAATCACTTAAACAACAGTTAAACGTGAGTACAGCAGAACATCAATATACCGATAGAAAATTGCTTTGGGCGTCCTCTTGAATTTAAATATTTCAGCCGAAACTTTGAGAGGATTCTCCTCCGCAATATGTAAATTTTTAGAGTGTGAGGAAGAGAAAATTTGTTTTGAATCACCCTAGTGTTTTTCCCAATCTACGGAATAAAATCGATGAAGCCGGCGGTTCACGTTATCACGTATCACTTCGTAGCCCAGAAAACAAGAAGATGCATGCGTCACAGTCGATTCGAGCAGCTTCAGTCATCTTTTTTTCGTCGCGTTTTCTTCCCCCGTGGCAGCTTCGCGTTTCCCTCGGGTGCGAATGGAAGAGGTAGGAGATGGCTCGTGAGCCACGAAGACGAGGCTGAAAAGTAAGATAAAAGGGAACGGGAGGGTGAAGAGGATTCGAGAAAATCGAGAGAGCTGAATGATGCACTCTTGCGTCTTTCTGCAGCCTATGTTGCATCGAGATGAAAAGGACACGCGGGATGTTTTCTGACGTTCTGTTGCTTCGAATAAAGCAATGGAAACGAAAAGTTTGGGAAACCATGGTCAGGTGCCCTTCACGGATTTTCGTCTCTCTGATACCACGTGCCAACTATGTGGAATACATTCGTTACTTTCGTCTCGGATCGGCAAAAAATATTTTGTGTTTTCTCTGACGAGAGTTATCTTTAATTAAATGAAACAAAAACTAAATATTGAACACTAACCACTGATATTGATATAAATTATTTTTTTCAATTGGTTTAGTTAATTTAGGTGATTCTAATATGTATGGCAGTTTAAAAGGACAAAGTTTAAAAGAACGGTGCACTTCTAATTAGGTGGAGAAGACGATTTGACAGAATTAGTATACATTTATTAAATATTACAGTGAGCATTTAACATAGTTCGAGTCTTTGATTATAAACTGCTATGCTTCTCTGGAACTGTACAGTGGTCGTTGTTGTTAAAGTAGGCGTTGACGGTCGTAATAAAGATTATTGTAGTGTTCAGTAGTCATCTATTGATGGTGTTGATTAACCTTTTAGGTACATCGCGCAACTATAGTGGCTTTCGCGAATACCATCTCTTTGTACGACGGTCCGCTATAGTGACTTTCGCGAATGTCATCGTAGATTACATTCATAATCTAAAGAACTTTGTACCTCATACCTTCAAAATCAAAAACTTAAATATTCAAAAAACTTGATAGTTCATATCGTCAAAATGAAATGCTATGAAATCTGAAAAACTTGATAGTTCATACCTTAAAAATTAAAAACTTCGAGATCTACAAAACTTGATACTTCATGTTTTAAAAACAAAAAACTGAAAATCCAGAAAAACTTGATATTTTACCACGAAAGTCTAGAGCTTCCATAATTCAAACCCAAACGCTTAAGAATTGCAAAATGGACGATAATTCGAGTGTTAAAACTAATTTGTGAGTTTTAACGAACAGTCATTGGATTCGGTAATGCTCGTTACTTTAACTGGATCCTTAAATCACGTCGTGTCGATATCATCCGGCTTTTGGGTTTATAGGTATTTTATTGTCTCCGAAGGAATTGATTTCTAGCGAAGGTAAAGGTTTCCTGGCCTCTTCCCACCTTGGGCCAATTCGTCACATCGTTTCTTATCCCTTTTCACCTCGTCACCAGTTTTCCTTCCCTCTCTGGAAAAAGCGATTGTGTCCCGGGCTCTTTTCGGCTTGCTTTTTGTTTGGACGCTCGTTCCCGGCAATAGTTACGAACCTTCGGGAAACGACGAAATCCATCCAAAAGTAATATTGGCTATCGATCGACGGTTGAAAAAGAAACGGATTGAATAACGGGGAAAGGAACGAAGCTTTTTTTTCGAACGATTAATTAACTTGCAGATATCCTTGCTGATTCTACCATCGTCCGTTCGTAATCGCGAATATTGGTTTCATAGTTCGCTGAATCTTTATCTTCCAGTTCTGGGATATTGAATAATGGACTTTTTTTTACGATTGTTTGCTTTTCGAAGCGTTTTTCGTTCTGGCATAAATGTAATTCAATTATTGTTACTGAATCGATGAGTAGGACAGTATATTTGTAGTAGATCCTTTGTGGGGAACAAAAGAATAATAAAAGATGGGAATAAAATTTTATAATGTTATTCCGAAAGAAAGAAATTTTTATATTTCGAACTGTAATAATGAAAAATAAATAGTATCTGAAGGGTTCAATTAAAAATAATATAAAATACGAAGTCTGTTATTGTGCAGATAATTCAGAAGGTATTTCCATTCACTTTATAAAGTTAAAGGCTTGCCGGGCCACTTATTTTTCAGACATGTCAGTTAAAACTAACTGTTCAGGACTATAAATAAAGGAAGAAATAAATTAAAGTAAAGGAAGAAAATTAAAATATTACGAGTATTTTACATTCAGCGATCATTGATTATGCAAATTATAGTTGGATCTAGATTTTAAGTTGAAGAGCATTCAAATTTGAGTAACATACATCACATTTGAACTGTAAGTGTGCCACGAGTGAGACTCTTAAAAGCGCGGGAAAAGGTTAAAAATGCAAGTAGACAAAGTTATTTTTTCTTATGATATTAATAAATACAAAAGCCACACTACAAAAATCATTTTAGACAAATACCAATTTTAAGTCTTGAAATTGACTAAAAACATGACATTATATTTTTTCTAATCAATAGAGAAGCTTAAAATAAACAGCCTGTACATAAAATATTTGCAACGTTTCAAATTCGTTCTCATTGACTAATCAATTCTTCATTAATTTAAAATATTTGTGTTTCTTCATCAGAACTTTTCATGAAGAAAAAACATATCAAATGCGTTGTAATAAATGTATAATATTTTAACACACTTATAAGAGCAACGAGAACGAATTAAGTGAACGAAAGAAACACTTCTGCTTTTCGAAACAAAAGAAATGCATTATTAGATAGTAGTAAAAAGGAAACCTTTCTTTTCTACACTTTTTCAAATGCTTTTAGATAATTTGTTTGTCTTCAATTTATTCGTCGTAACTGTATGTGATCTGTATTTGTTTTGTTTCGTTTATTTTTACCGAGTCATAACACGAATCGAATGCGGTGGTTAACCTCTTGTCCTGCAGTATGGTGTCACACTCGTGACGCACACTACAGTTCGAACATGATAAACCAGATTCGTATATTCACTGCAATTGAATTTTGGTTCAATTCTTAAAGGAAGAAAATTAAAATATTACGAGTATTTTACATTCAGCGATCATTGATTATGCAAATTATAGTTGGATCTAGATTTTAAGTTGAAGAGCATTCAAATTTGAGTAACATACATCACATTTGAACTGTAAGTGTGCCACGAGTGAGACTCTTAAAAGCGCGGGAAAAGGTTAAAAATGCAAGTAGACAAAGTTATTTTTTCTTATGATATTAATAAATACAAAAGCCACACTACAAAAATCATTTTAGACAAATACCAATTTTAAGTCTTGAAATTGACTAAAAACATGACATTATATTTTTTCTAATCAATAGAGAAGCTTAAAATAAACAGCCTGTACATAAAATATTTGCAACGTTTCAAATTCGTTCTCATTGACTAATCAATTCTTCATTAATTTAAAATATTTGTGTTTCTTCATCAGAACTTTTCATGAAGAAAAAACATATCAAATGCGTTGTAATAAATGTATAATATTTTAACACACTTATAAGAGCAACGAGAACGAATTAAGTGAACGAAAGAAACACTTCTGCTTTTCGAAACAAAAGAAATGCATTATTAGATAGTAGTAAAAAGGAAACCTTTCTTTTCTACACTTTTTCAAATGCTTTTAGATAATTTGTTTGTCTTCAATTTATTCGTCGTAACTGTATGTGATCTGTATTTGTTTTGTTTCGTTTATTTTTACCGAGTCATAACACGAATCGAATGCGGTGGTTAACCTCTTGTCCTGCAGTATGGTGTCACACTCGTGACGCACACTACAGTTCGAACATGATAAACCAGACTCGTATATTCACTGCAATTGAATTTTGGCTCAATTTCAATTATAGTCTGCAT